CACACACACACACACACACCATATGCACACACACACACACACAGGAAAGTCTCTGGTTACTTACTAGGGTGATTTTTCTCTTCCTCACACCAGCACTCTGCCTGTCCAGCTGCTGGCCAAGTGTGGAGCATGCCGCCAGCAGCTGTTTCCTTCCAGCCAGGCCGTGTGTCTTAACCAGTCATATGCACCTCCTGATAACCACCCGAGCGGTGCCAGGAGGTCAGAAACTGAAGCTTATTATTCTCCGGGTTGGCAAACCTTCTCCTAAGCTGTGGGCCGGCTCGGCCACTTCATCAGCATGCAGGGCAGGGCATTCCACCGTTTGTTTTCTTTTTAGAGACAAATGCCCCAAGAGCCGATAAGGCACACGGGGAGGACAGGTCACTGCAGACAGAAAGCTAACTGCGCTTCTGTGGGGGGAGGGAGGCAGGCAGTCACTACTCTCCCACCCCACTTAAGTTTTCTCTAGGGTGTCTAGTCAGCAAGAAAAAGGAACCAGGAGTTCAGTCAACAGGTGGAAGTTGCTCTATCAGTCAGGTGCCCTTAGAGCAAACAATCCGCTTGGTTTCCTTTTCTCAGAGCTCCAGGCTCTAGAATGGGTGGTTCTTCACACAACTAAAAGGACTTTCCCAAGAAAGGCAAACTTTAACCCTCCAAGAATGCTTAGTCCTGCATGTCGTCCTCCCCTCCCCCCAGCCCCGATTGGCACACCTCTCCAAGGCCAGGGCTGCTGCAGCCAGAAATGGCCCAAGGCACAGACAAAAGGGGTGAAGGAAGAAAGTCTCATGCAGTTTTGTTGAAAGAACCATTGGAAATAATTTCCTGCGGCTTCAAACCTCATTTCCACTTGGTTGCCTGCTGCCTTGGTGTCAGCATTCTGGGGAACCACAGGGCAGTTGAGATTGTCAGCCAGGGTGACTGGAAGAAACACATCACTTTGCAGGTGTGTTGCTGACCCACCTCATATTCTGGGAAGCTGGGACAGACACAGTCGCTGCGTAGGTCACAGCGGCGGCCTGCCAGCCTGCCTATTGTGTTGGAACCATCTGTCCCACCAGAGTTTAATTCTCCTCCTTGCCCTTGTCATCTTTCTCTCCTAAGGAAACCCCTGGAGTGCATGACTTTAGAAGATTTCTGGCCTTGAGTCTCTGACTTCTTAGAATGTTAAGGTGGCGCTTCCTAAAACTATGTCGGAGCTCACCTTCCAAGTAAGAGCGGAGATCTGGCAGAATCAGCTTCTTTGGAAAAGAGTCCATCAGGAATGGATGGCTAAAGTCTCCCAGGGGATTTCTGGGTCGTAATTAATATGCTACTATCGGCCTTGACTTTTAACAAGTGTCAACTCTCCGCACAGGGGCATGTACACCAGCCTTCCAAACTGAGGCTCATGCTATAATTATAATTTGTGGTGAAATTAAACTAGAAAATTCCCTCTATATAAAAGTTCGTATTAAGAAGAAAAGGGGGAGGAAGATGTGGAGAAAGAAGAGCAGTTTCTCAGGTCTAATTATTTTCTTAGTTGTAAAAGCCCAGAGTATAAACGGAAGACATTGGAAATATCAAAACCTATTAATGGGAGTTTAAAGTCAGCAGCAGCTATAAACTCCAGACCTGGGGATGTGGCGCCCTGAAATATGTCGCCTCCAGAGGCCTTTTCACTCCTGTGTTGGTGACTCAGTCTCCACTCACAAACAGCAAAGGAAGCCGGCTAATCATTTGAAATGCTCTCCTGATTTATTTATACTCCATGTTTACAGTAACAGAAACTTCTGGACCTCATGATCCACATCAGTCATCGACAGCAGAATGGGTTGATTATTCTGACAATCCGTCTTGCACCAAACAGTCAAGGAAAGGAGAGATTCCGGGAAGCTAGTCAGTGACTAATAGCGAAAACAATATAGAGATTCCTCGCCAATTCTATTTACAATCAAGGGCAGACCCTGATGGTACTTATGAGGCAAAATGTCAGCCTGGAGATCAAGACATTGGGCCCTTGTACTCTGAGACTAGTAAGGTGACAGATGGCCCGGTAGTGGTGTCATCTTCCAACCATGCATGGGGAAGAGCCCTTTTGTAGCCAGCCTGCCTACAGGTGCGTATCATTCTCTTCATCTCCAAAATCTTGCCTCCCCTTGAGTCCCCTCCCACCTTGGTGCCTCTCTCCCTGTGCATCCCAACGGCCCTAGACCTTCACCTGTAGCCACACCTGTCTCCCACTCAGCTCATCTTCCTGACCACCTAGCTGTGCCCATCCTCACGGCTCTTACGTCAGAATAACGATCTCTCTGATATGTTGCTCTTGTTCTCATAGCTCAGTCTCCCTTCCCAGCCAAGTTTCTGGAGAAATCATTTGTCTTCCATCTCACATGCCGAAGGTCTAGACTGCTTGTGGTCTGACCTCTCCCGCTCCACAGACATTGCTTACTCCGCCTGGCTATCTACCACGAGCAATGGACGTGTCTTTGTTCATCTTACTTGAACTTTTGGCTACATTTAGCCCAGCTGACTTCGTGGTGCCGAGAATGTCCTGTAGCTTCCATGAACTCTTACTGCAAGTTCCTTCACCTCCTCCGTGGACTTCCTTTCTACTTAACCCTGACTGTGGAAACCCTCTCTGCAAATCCTGTTTTCTAAGTCTCATGCATGCTGACTGATTACTACAGACTTGCCTCAAAAATCCCTATTTATGACACCATGCCTCCTTTACACTTTACCTACGAGTGAAGCCTCTCAGGCAGGGGCCATGTGGTAGCTTAGGCATTTTTTTGTGTCCAGAAACTATGATAATAGTTTGAGTTTATCTCAACTAATAGGCACTGTTTGCCACAATCTCCCTTTGTTCTTTCTACTTCTCTCCCTCTCTGTCTTTGTCTCTCTGTCTCTGTCTCTCTCTCTCTCTGCTCTTTTGAGACATACACTGAAATAAAATGATTATTTTCATAAGCTTAAAATTATCTCAATTAAAATTAAATTCTTTAATCATCATGAAAATATTTTAGTCATGATAAAAAGTCTAAATTTTGTATAAAAATTAAAATATTTATACAGTAAGATGAGATTTCTGTGTATAGACTATTGTTCCACCATACCCAAAGTTAAATGACAGATGTCAAAACAATATAAAGAGAGAAACAGACAGGTAACTGATAAATAGCTTTAATATGTAAACCATTGACAAATAATAACTGAGTAGAGGGTGTCAATAAATATTTCACAAAAGAAAAAATCTAATGTGCAATATGCATGTGAAAAAATTCAGATTTCCATCAAAGGACAAATTAAATGAACATAAAATATCATGTGTACTCTATGAACTTGACAAAAATGAAATAATGATAATTTCCAATGTTAGAAGGAGGTTTAGAAAGTAGAACCTTCAAGGTCAGATGTCAAGAATGTAACTGCTAAGCCAATCGTGGTGGCGCACACCTTTGATCTCAGCACTCGGAAAGCAGAGGCAGGAGGATCTCTGTGAGTCTGAGGCCAGCCTAGTCTACAGAACAAGTTTCAGGTCAGCCAGCGTTACACAGACAAACCCTGTCTCAACCCCCTCACCCCAAAAAAGTAACTGGTACAACATGTGAGGAAGCTAGTTTTGCAATTTGATGTGAACACTCTTTAAAATGTGTTTTCCCCTCCACTCATCAGTTCCTGTTATAAAAATATATTCCAAGAAAAGACTGTGGATTGCATTACCGTGAGGCTGCTCCTTAGGAACCTCTCACACTCGTGAACATGATGGACGTCTGAGAGCCCACCAAGGCTGCTCCAGTGCCTGTCCCCTCACAGGGGCAGTGCTGTGCAACTGTGCCAGAAGAATGATGTTCACGTGTATTACTAGCCAGGAAATATTTGCAGTTTAGTATGAGAAAATCATGCCATGTAAGTTTCTTTAGAACAATTTCATTTTTCAAAGGAAGTATTATGCTAATATTGGAAAAGGCCTGAGACAAATATCAAAAATTTTAAACAGCTTATCCAATTGTTTCTGAGAGTTATTCACATACACACAAACACACACTTTTTTTTGATTTATTTTATTTATTATGTATACAATGGTCTGCCTGCATGTATCCCTGCAGACAGAAGTTGGCACCAGATCTTATTACCGGTGGTTGTGAGCCACATATGGTTGTTGGGAATTGAACTCATGACCTCTGGAAGAGCAATCAATGCTCTTAACCACTGAGCCATCTCTCCAGCCCCACACACACTTTTTTATACAAGATTTTTTCAAAATTAGACAGCGGAAGCCAGGCAGTGGTGGCCCATGCCTTTAATCCCAGCACTCAGGAGGCAGAGGCAGGCAGAGATTTGTGAATTTGAGGCCAGCCTGGTCTACAGAGTGAGTTCCAGGACAGCTATGACTGTTACATAGAGAAACCCTGTCTCAAAAAGCAAAACAAAACAACAACAACAAAATTAGACAGAGGAAAGTGCGGCTAAGAATGTGGCTCACTTGGTAGAGTGCTCGCCTGAGTGGGGTCACACCTGTACTCCCAGGATGTGAGAGGTTGAAACAGGACCTCCAGAAGTCAGGCTATCTCTGGCTACATGGGGGGTTTAAGGCCAGCCTGGGATACGTAAGACCTGTCTCAAAAATAAATAAACGAATGAACAAATGAATGAATAAAACAAATAAGAGAACAGAAGTGAGGTAGAAGAAGCCTTGGGGCATTCAGTATTGGCACAGAGAGGAGAAGGCCATTGGCAGGAACAGGATTGGAGAAGACAGGGGAAAAAAGAACAAAAACAAAACAAAACTCAAGTTCATAACAAAGTTGGATATTCCTTAGTTCTCTCACTTGGGCAAGTCATCGACAGAATATTTGACAAGAAAATGCTAGAAGTGAAGGGATCAGAGATTCCGTGAACACAGGAGAGGAGAGAACAGTGGTCCAGCCTCAGCACCCCAGATTCTACCTCTGAGGCGCCCTCTTGGACTTTGTGCCATCTCACGCCTGCAGACAGAAAGCACTATCTTCTTGCTAGAGGCTCCCTGCCTTGTGTCAAGCTCCACACAAGCTGCTCCGAGTGGAGCCACACCACCTGCTGTTGGCTTGAGGCACTGACATGCACAGTGACTTCAACCAGCCTCCACTTTCCTTGCAAGGGACTTTGTGTTCAGCATCGCTCTGTGCTTCCGTCAGCCCAACTCCCACCCCTCCCTCACCCTGACACATGCCTTTTTTTTTTTCTTGATACTTTCTCAGCTTTTCTTTTTTAGCATTAACATTTGTCTAAGAATTCTGGTGGTGGCATTATTCCTTTCTCTCTCTCTTTACCCCTCCTTTCTTCCCTTTCAGCTATGAGAAATCAAAGCAAGTAGCCAATCACGGTGAACTTCGAGTTCTGCTCATCCTGGGTGGTGGCACACGCCTTTAATCCCAGCACTCAGGAGGCAGAGCAGGTGGATCTCTCTGAGTTCGAGGGCAGCCTGGTCTATAGAGTGAGTTCCAGGATAGCCAGGGCTACACAGAGAAACCCTGTCTCGAAACAAACGAAAGAAAAAAACAAACCAAAAGGAACAGGGATGAAGTGCTAGCTATACTCCTGCTACAGAAATGAAAAACTGTTTTCTAAGCAGCATTCAGAGTTGCTCTTGCACAAATCAACCAGTGTCAACAAATGAAGAAATACAGTGTCTGTGTTCAGTCTAGTGGAGATCATCAAAATGAGACAAGAGCCCCTGATCTCAAGTTCATGACCTCATTGGTAAAAAAGAACAATACATAGAGAGTCATATACAAGTCGAAATAATTATCATAGAATAATACTATATTAATATGTATGCATTATGCTAATGCTATACATATAACCTGCTAACTACTATGCAAAATGTTTATTCTCAAAGCAAATCTCTAGGAATGGGCTATCGTCACTCACAGGTGACTTTTACTGAGGTTAGCCAGCATACCCACGACTAGCAAGCAGTCTAAGGAATGAAGATGTAAACTCAGATTGACACTCTGACTCCAAACCCTGCACATCACGCCCAATCTCAGCGATTTGGTAGCCACTGAGGTTTTCTTAGAAGCCATAGAAGACTTGTTCATCTTGTCACACCTACCTGCCTCCAGGCACAGTGATCTAATCAACTGTACTGCCTTTGCGGGTCTAATTATTGGCATCGTGGGAAGAGTTTCCTAATATTATCAACCGCAAATGTGGTGTTTAGCCAGTTATAATTAAGTGGCTGTGTGGTTGGCAGGCCAAAGGACATCTGCAGCATTCTCTCTGTGAATGAATGCATTCCATGGGATAAACACAGCTCAGTTCTAAACAGCCCTTTTGCAGGTACATCTTTGGAACGCAATTCACAGATGAATTGGAAGCCTTCTAAATGACAACAGACAAAAGAGAGGGAAAAGCCTCCCTCAGAATTGGTCTCTGCACCCAGCCTCCACAGCTTCCCCTGTCCTCAGGGTCCTTGGAGAAACTCCTAAACTTGCAGACAGACTAGCCCTGACTAAAATAGACTCCGCCTTTCAGTTCCCTGTTCTGTCCTGCTTTCTGGCTCTCCCTTCCCCTCTCTTTCTACAGATTCTTGTTCACTATTTAAAGACCTCATCCTCAGCATAATTGTGTTTTTACATTTTAATTTACTGCGATTTACCTTTATGGCTGTATTTTTCTCTGAAAACATCCCCAACCCATGGGCTCTTTAAACCCCGCTGAAGCTCCATTCCTCACAACAGGAGGACAATCGTGCACCCGCCACAAGACAGCTTGCTTGCATCATTACTCAGACAACAGCTTTGACCGCTACTATTTTTATTTCAAAATCAGAGTCAGCAGAGATGTTCATTAATCTGTGAGGACGTCACCCCTAGAAGCCAGAGACTATAAATATTTTTTGTTGCTAATTCATAACTGTAATTTTGCTACTGAGCAGTGTCTCGGTTCCTAAGACCATTGGAAATACGTGATTTCCAATCGTCAGTTCATAGGTTGAGATCCCCTGCATGCGTGGTTTATTCTAGTGACTGGAACACAGGCACCGTATCACACCGGAGAATGAGGTGAGGATGCTCTGTACTTCCCCAAATCGGAAAAGCAGCACTCTTGTGCTTGACTTTATGGAATGCTTACATTTAAAAGCATTACATGCTCATGGTAGCACACTGAGGAAGACAGAGTATGCATGAGGAGCTTACCTGTGCTCTTGTCTCTCTGATAAAGCACATATCTTCTGTCACACCAACAGTATGAGATTCTAAAAAGATAGATACCATATATCTGCTTTTCCATTTTTAAAGTTGACACTGCCAATAATACTCTGCCAATTGATTTTTTCTTTTAATAATATATAATTGGCTCCAAACTCAATAATACAGCTTTTTTATTTCTACATTCTACTGCACTGTATAGCCACACCAGAGTGTACCCTTGCATACTGTTGATGAATACTCAAATACCAGTTTTGCCTCAGTAAGCACCGTTGCCCACAGCATCGTTGCACACATGTCTTTTATTTCTGTAGCATAAATCCCCAGACTGGGATTAGTAGGATTGATATTTTATTGATTTCTGCAGATAAAGATTCTCTTCTTGATCAAATGCTAGCCTGTTCTTTCTTATCCATCTAGACCTACTAGGATTTGAACAAACCCAGGCTGTAAAGAAGGCTCAGTGGGCTTGTTGTAGAAATATAATGACTTAATTTTGGACCCCAGAACCCACACAAAGTTGGACATAGTAGCTCATGTCTGTCATCCCAATTCTTCTATAGAGAGACAGGTTGTAGAGACAGGAGAATGCCTGGAAGGGGTAGTTAACCCAGCATGCCCAGTGGCAAACAGCAAAGAGACCCATCTCTGACAAGGCGGAAGGCAAGGCCCTGCACTTGAGGGTGTCCTTTGATCTCTCCGTGTGTGCCATGAAACACCTATGCACATGAGCTTGCTTGTACTCATACATATGAGTGCACATACATCACACACACAAACACATACACACACACACACACAGTTTGAGCAAACTCCAAAATAGTTTTTAGAATGTCAAAGCAAGATCTGTAAGATTAATTTGCCATTACAAGTATGTACCTTCCCAAGGAAGCTCAAAGCTGTCAAAATGTTTCCTGCCTGGTCCAGCTACCAGAGAGACAAGATCCATGTTATTCAGTCTCTGTGGAAAGATAGATCCCTAACTTTCTGACTTTACAAACTAGCTAGTATCACCAACACCCACCAACCCTCTGACTCTAATGAGACCCGACTTGGTTGCTGCCTCATTTTCCCTGTAAGATGTCTGGGTAGTTCTGTGCAAACCATATTGCCTCTCAATCTTTAGGTTGCCATAGTTCTTACTGACAAAAATCTGTCCTTGTCTCTTGAATTTATGTCTGACTTGACAAAAGAAAAAAAAACATTCTGTTCTTTTTTTCCTAATCCGAACTAATGACAATACTAAGGTCACAATTCTGAGCAATGTTAACTTGGAAGATATGGATTATAGAAGGAGAAGCAATAATATTTCATTGGATAGGCTGGAGAGATGGCTCAAGAGTTAAGAGCACATGGTTGCTCTCCAAGTGGACCTGAGTTCAATTCCCATAACCCACGTGGCAGCTCACAACTGTAACTCCAGTTTCAGGGGATCGAATACCTCCACACCACACTTTGTCTTGTATATAAAACAAAGTTAAACTACCGAGAAACCCTATCTCGAAAAACCAAAAAAAAAATTAGTAATTTCATCATTGCATCCTACCAACCATGCCTGTTCAATGACTTAAAGTGGGAAGTGCCTGCTTAATTTTCATGAGGAATAGCAAGCTTTTTCAAAGGATATTAAACTCGACTAAATTCGGTCAAAGTTAAAATATGAAGTCTGTCCAATTCTGCAATTTTCTTATATTTTTATCTTGTGCAAAGACAGGGTCTTGCTATATAGACCAGGCTTGCCTCAAGTTTAAAATCCTCCTGCATCAGCCCCTTAAATGATAGGATTACATGCCTGCCACCCCTGGTTATTTTAGCATTTGTTAATCTGTACATCTCAAGGCGTCCATGAACTCTAAGACTGTTTCAATCCTCAATCAATTACCAATAGGCAAACTGGCAGACTATTAGAAAACAAAATACCAAAGATGTCCTGAAGCATAGTCCCAGCATGCACTGGGACTGGTGAAGAGGTCAGTCCCTCCCACATACCACTCCCTGTGACTTGCCTCTTAACTGAAGAGCCAGCACCTCACATGGCACCTGAGGTAGGAATATAATGTCAGCACAGGGCCGAGGATCACAGTATCCACAGCTGCATGGCTCCAGTTGTGGTGGTTAATCAAAGTAAAATAAAACCAAATAGCAACAGCAATAACAACAAGAACAACAAAAAGCCCTAACCAAAAAACTCTTCTACAGTCTAAGCCTTTATTGCATACTTTAATTTGATAGACTGGAGTGAGGTCTTAGAATGAGAGCATTTTTAACAGTGTATTTACTATGAATTTTGCATCAGCCACCACATTCTAAGTCACTAATAACACACACCAGGTTCCTGATTTAAAAAAAGAAAGTGTATTTCTTATAACAAGGAAACTTGGTTCACAATTCTCAAGCTTTCTTTGTTTTTAGAAAGGCATTCATTTAAACATTATGAACAATGGATAAACCCCTGGCCTGGTTCGTGAAAAATGACACCTCATCAATCGAAATTCAACACACACTATTCAAGAACACATTTATTAAATATAATAAGTGCAAATTCAATTGTGGATCCAACTTACTGGCCCAGACGAGAGGAGTCCTTTCTCTCAGAACAAAATGCAGGCAGGCAATTCCCCGCTGCCTGTGACACGCAGTGACTTCATGACACCCAAGTACCCAGAAGGGACTGACTATAAATAAACACTCAGCTTTCACCTCAGTGTCCTCAACCGAAAGGCCAGGTGAGACTGTAACGGCTTGCAATAAGTCCCCTGTGCCCCAATGCCATGGACGGCAATGTGTTTAAAATTCCTAGTGATCTTGCTGACAATTCTCCCATACATACTTCGTCTTTCTCTGTTAGACCTTTTCTAACCTAGTAAGGCAGTGTGGCACATGGGGTGCTGCACACCGTGGAGCAGATTTGGGATTCTTATTCTCCATCCGGTCATGTATAAACTGAACCTTTGAAGGTTAAAAAAATATATATATTTATTTTTATTAAAGAAATGGAAATGCCCAACTCAAAAGTGGCTGCACTGGTTTCCTGGTGTGGGAGAATTGTCTGTATTCTGTCAATCATGTTTTCAATAAACGCTGATTGGTCAGGCAGGAGGTGTAGGTGGGAAAACCATACAGGAAGTGGAAATGGTGCAAGGAGAGCAGGAGAATTCTGGGGAGGAGGAAGTTGATTCCTCCCACTCCTGCCCAGATCACCGAAGCCGCAGGATGTGAACTGCCCCACTGAAAAAGGTACTGAGCCACATGGTTAAAATAGATCAGAAAAATGGGTTAATCAAGATGTGAGAGTCAGTGAGAGGCTAGAGCTAATGGGCCAATCAGTTTTATAAATAATAGAGATCTTTGTGTGGTTTTCTTTGGGCTTGCCGGTTGTGGGGTACCAGGTGGGGACAGAAAACACAAACAAGCAGGACCCCCTCATGTTACAGTTTCCCACATAGGTTTTAGAAAAGAAATAATGCACTGGGCCATGGTGGTGGTGTACACCTTTAATCCTGGCACTCGGAAGGCAGAGGCAGATGGATCTCTATGAGTTCAAAGCCATCCTGGTTTATAAGAGCTACTTCCAGGACAGCCAAGGCTACACAGAGAAACCCTGTCTCAAAGAAAGAAAGGAAGAAAGGAAGGAAGAAAGGAAGGAAGGAAGGAAGGAAGGAAGGAAGGAAGGAAGGAAGAGAATTTTCCTTTAGAAGTGTAGCCTGTGAAAATAGTCAACAAGGCAACAGAGACGCATGAAAAACAAACTCAGTGTAATATATGTCATACTAAAACAGAAAACAATCCAAAGACCAGAGAAGGAAGGAGGAATTGGATGCTCATGCCTGTCATACTAATACTTAGGAGACCGTGGCAGGATTTTGTCAGTTGAGGGCCAGCCTGGGTTACACTAATGAGTTCCAGGCTAGCCTGGGGTACAGAATAAGACCTGGTCTTCAAAATTAGTTATTTAATCACAAGAGACAGTTGATCAAAATAATAAGAATGAACTTTCAATGAAGTATACACCATACAGCTATGAGAAAAGGTGAAACAAGCATCTATCCACACTTATAAAGCCAAACAGGATTTCCCTTTTCCTTTTCTTATATGACTAACTTTAGCATTGAGTATATTACAAGCAGTACAACTTCTATAAGTAACATTTAATATTGCTAGTATTAGTGGCAGGGGGAGATGCAGGTATGTGCAGGCCAGGGGACAACTCTGCAGAGCTGGTTCTCTCCTTTCCCATTCAAACACGTTCCAGGAATTGAACACTGGTCATCAGGTGTGTATAACAAACACATTTAACTGCTGAGCCAACTCAACGGGCCTAAAACTAAAATTTAAGGGAAGTACAAACTCAGTACTGTTATGATTTGGATAAATGTCCCAGTGCCCAAGTGTTAAAGACTCAGCACCTCCCTATGCGGAAGGAAGGTGACAAGACCTGTAAGGGGTGGGGCTTAATGAGAGACCCTTCAGTTCCGGGAGGTGTGTCCACGGAGGGGATGGTAGGACCTCCCTACTTCCTCTTTTCTTTTCACTTCCCAGCTGTCAGGCTTTTAGGACTTCAAGGGCACCGGGAAACTAACAGAACTTCCTGCCATGTATCTGGTCATATCTGAGTGTGAACTAACTAGCAGATCTTCCTACCACACAGTAGGTTGTATCTGAGTGTGAACTAACTAGCAGATCTTCCTGCTATACAGTTGGTTGTATCTGAGTGTGAACTAACTAGCAGATCTTCCTGCCATACACTCAATCGTGTCTGAGTGTGAACTGCGTTGGTTTGCTGACGTTGATTGCCTGTCGTTATGGTGGTGGTTCCATGCATGTGTGCTATGTCATGAAATCAAATTGTAGATTAAATGTGCATGAATTATTCTATTACTATTGTACCATTGCTTTTTTTAAAAAAAAATCTTTTAGTAGAATTTAAAATCTCAGCCATAATCGAAGGACTCTCTCACAAGCCCAAGCATTACAAACATGGCACTGGCAGGCCTTTTCTTCTGCCCTCCCCCACTTTCTTCTCCCTTGCTAAACTATTAGATTACATTCCTAGAGCTAGCCCCCAAGGTCTATTTGCCTAACTAAAGCTCCAAGATCCAACAATCAAAATTCATTATCTGACTACACTGGCTAACGTATTCGGGTTTACCAGCTCACCCTAACACAGATTTCCCCCTTTTCTCCCTAAAATCCACTCCTGCAGGAACACCTGCTGTTGTCTCTGTACAACCCAGAGGCAGCCACCCCAACCTCCTGTACCCGCACACCTGCTCGTCCCTGTAGGGTAAAAATCTCCTTTGTGCTGAGAATTTGGTGTTTGTGTGTGTTCTGTGCTGACTCCAGGCACCCCTTACAGTAACAGCATCAAAGGAGAATGAATTCAGAATTTCAAGTCTCTAAGGTCTTAATTATTCAGAAGAAGACTGGGAGCGGTTTTTGTTCTTGCTGATTTTATTTGGTTTGATTCTAATTTTTGAGACAAGGTCTTGGTGAACAGCTACGTCTGACTGTGAACAAATTTACTAGGTAGCTGAAGCTGGTTTCAAACGCTATCTTACTGCCTCTTAAATGCTGAGATAACAGCTGTGTGTCACATACCTGCCTTAGATCAAACTTGTTTCTTTTAGACTTTGTTAATTCAAGTGTGTGCTCCAACTATAAATCAAAGATCAGTCTGTAATTCTCTTTCTTAGTAGCGTCTTTGTGTGGTTTGGGTATCAGGGTAACTGTAATCTTATAAAAAGAGTTTGGTAATGTTCCTTCTATTTCTATTGTGTAGAACAATTTGAGAAGTATTAGTACTGGCTCTCCTCTGAAATTTTGGTAGAATTCTGTGCTGAAACCATCTGGCCCTGGGCTTTTTTTTTCATTAGCCATCAGAGAAATGCAAATCAAAACCACTCTGAGATACCATCTTATACCTCTCAGAATGGCTAAGATAAAAAACAATAATGACAATTTATGTTGGAAAGGATGTGGCATAAAGGAAAAACTCCCCTACTGGTGGGAGTGCAAACTTGTACAACCACTTTGGAAATCGGTATGGCAGTTTCTTAAAAAATTGGGAATCAATCTACCTCAAGACCCAACTAAACCAATTTTAGGCATATACCCAAAGGATGTACAATCCTATCACAAGGATACTTGCTTAATGATGTTCATAGCAGTATTACTCATAACAGCCAGAACCTGGAAACAACCTAGATGCCCCTCAACCAAAGAATGGAAAAATAAAATGTGGTATATTTACACCGTGAAGAACTACTCAGCTTTAAAAAACAACGACCTCATGAAATTTGCAGGCAAATGCATAGAACTAGAACAAAAATCATTTTGAGTGAGGTAACCCAGACCCAAAAAAGACAAACATGGTATGTACTCACTCATAGGTGGTGTCAAGGATAAGACAATCAATCTGCAATCCACAGCCCCAGAGAGGCTACATAACAAGGAGGGCCGAAAGAGAGATGCATGGATTTTCCTGAGAAGGGGAAGTAGAAAGAGTCCCCTGGGTAAACTGGGAGTGGGGGTTGGGAGGATGGAGGAAACGGGAAGTAGAAGGAGCAGGCTGGGTGAACTGGTGTGGGAGGCAGGTTGGAGGCAGAATGGGGAGGGAGAGATGTCCCAACAAGAGATGTCTTGTTGGGGTGGTAGCATTTCAGGGTTAGGGAAAACCTGGTACAAGGGAAATTCCCATGAAGCTACAAAGATGACCCCAACTAAGACTCCTAGCAATGGTGGAGAGGGTGTCTGAACTGGCCATCTACTGTAAACAGATTGGTGACTTCCCTAATTGCACTCAGAGATACTCTGTCCAGTAACTGATGGAAGCAGAGGCAGGGATCCACAGACAAGCTCTGCTCTGAGCTCTGAGAGTCTTGCAAAAGAAAGGGAGGAGGGGTCGTATCAGACAGGGGGGTCGTAATGGGGGAACACACATAGACAGCTGACCTTAGCTCATGGGAACGCACGGATGTGGGAGCATCAGTCAGGGAGCCTGAATGGGACTGACCTAGGCCCGCTGCATGTGTGTGACAATTGTGCATCTTGGTCTCCTAGTAAGGCTTCTAACAGTGAGAGCGGGACCTCTCCCTGGCGTTTAGCGGGCTTTTGGTAACCTGGTCCCCATGTTGAATTACCTAGGTCCAACTCGATGTAAGGAGAGTAGCTCAGTCCTGCCTCAACTTGATGTGTTATACTTTTGCAAGCCCATGGGAGGCGTATTCCTTTCTGAATGGAACTGGAGAAGGAGTGGATGGGGAGGGGGGTAGATGGGAAAGGGGAGGAGATGGGAAGAGAGAAGGGAGGGAAAAATGGTTGTATGTAAATGGAAAAAAAGTTATTTAAAAAAAGAAAAGATAACCATAATTTCTTAAGAGCAATGGTTAAGTTGAAAATATAAGGAAATATGATGGATGGGCGCCTTTGAGGCATCCCGTAAAATAAGATTACTGATAGAGCTATCTTGGCATTTTAACTCTTGCTAAGTTTTAAACAAACAGACAAAACAAAGGACACAAAGTTGTAACAGCCAAAACACAAATAGGGAAAAATGGAATACTGTGAACTTTAAGAATTCAAAAGAAGGTGAAAAATGGGGGGGAAAAGTGATACTAAAAGCTAAAAGTTATATAATATTTTAATGGTCACAGTGTGGATTGTCTAAATTCACCATCAGAGTGTAAACACTCATTAAACAGTGTTTAATGAAAGCAAGAAGATAGACCTGAGCGCAGCTCAGTTCCCACGAGGTATAAGGTTGTGTGTACATCAGAGGACCAGAGAGACGCCTCTCATCAACCCAATCCCTTTAAACTACTTACTCCAAAGTCTTAAAAGTAATTAAAAGCAGATTCTTTGTGTAAAAAATGACAGGAGGCACTGATTGATGCAGCTGAAAAAGCGAGGGACGGGATAAGCGCCACGGAGACAGAGGCCACGAAGAGAACGAAACTCACAAGAAACTACCCAACACATGCCCAATGAGCTGGCTAGCAGGTGACCAGCCATTCTAAGGGAGCTCGCACACTTCCTGCCCAAGTAGGCCATCTCTGGTAAGTAGAGTGCACAACCTCTAGCACCCGTTAACTCCTATTCTTCCCCGGATTTGGGAAGGCGAAGGCTTTGCCTGCATGGCGGAGCCAGAACTCCTTGAAGAAAGCTGCACTATATTTAGTCAGGCCAGATGGTACAGTTCGCCGTCTGTTAGCTCAGAGTGTGCACAGCCAGATAGATGGTTCTAATCAGTCTTATCAGGGAAACAGATGGAAAACTCTTTCCAGACTAATCCTTTCGTCTGATTCCAAAAGGAGGCCATGTGGTTTCCCTGGGCCGCCCGCCTATGTTTGGAAGTACTTTCTCAGCCTCCATTCATTTTACACGTTGGGGATGAGGTGCAAGGAATTGTGGGTGAGATACAAGGAAGCTAGGAACATGATGGCAATTCTTTACTTGAAGACAGCATCTTACCAAATGTTCTTCCCCATCCCAATTCTCAAAGACTTTGTGATTGTCCTGATCACTCTGTTGCTAAAATAGAAAATTTAACTGAACGAAGAGCCCAAAGACCCAACTTCTCAGCGACGTCCTTCAGCCTGAGTACTTCTGAGGGACAGTGAGCAACTCTACACCGCTGCTCTTAGAAGTCTGCCTTAATAGTAAATCAACAAAATGAGTGGTGATATGTGTCTCATGGATTTGTTTGCAAAAGGAAGAGAAATGGCACCAAGAGGGTGTTTTTGGACAACTATCCTTCTGACATTGCTAAGAAACACAATCTCGCAGCAAACTCCCTATTTCTCTGGCTCTTGCAATCTTTCTGCCCCCCTTCTCTGCAGAGATTCCTGAGCCTAAGGTGCAGGAATTGTGTTGCAGATGGATCCATTGGTACTGGGTACCACAACTCTGACTTGTGATTCATTGTGGTTTTCTGTGATGGTCTCTGGCTGTTACAAAGAAAAGTTTCCTCGATGAGGGATGACACTTATCCGGGAGGAAAGGACGAACACTTAGAATGTAGGGATTATGTTGGGTTAGTAAAGTGGGTTGGTGTAGAATCTTCCCCAAACAGTGATGGCTTCAGTAGATGGCAATGTTAAGAACCAGAATTGATTTCCCTCTCGTTGAGTGAGTCTTAAGTCTTATGTGAGTCTTGAGTCCTGAGCAAGGATACTGCCAGTGGACATGATAGCATTGGTAGGGTGTGGGAGAAGTTCATAAATACATATATACATATATATGCATACACACACATATAAGGGTTTATGGTGTCATATGTTTATGCACACGCATATGACACCATAAATCCTTACCATAAAAATCTAATACATTGAAGCTGGGCCGTAGCGGCACACGCCTTTAATCCCAGCTCTTGAGAAGCAGAAACAGGCAGATCTCTGTGAGTTTGAGGCCAGCCTGGTCTTCAAAGTTAGTTCTAGGACAGCCAAGGTTTCACAGAAAAAAGAAGGGGAATAAGATTCTGTAATCACAGCTTTGTGACGTTTGTATGGTACACACATGTAGCAGCCTGTAGATGTCCCTCAGCTAACCTCACAGACTCTTGGGTAGCTCTGGCTCACACTGGATCCAGGCAGATTCTCTCTGGCCAACAGGATACATAAAAAGAGACAGGTCAACTTCCAAGGTAAGACCATAAAAAGCATTGCCTCATTCTGAAGGAATTCTGATGCCACGCCAGGAAGACACTGCTATTTCCTCCAGTCAGCTTCTGCCCTGTTTACTCTCTCTATGTGTTCTGTGAATCCCACAGTGCGTAATTGAGTTGACAGAAACCTTGTAAGACCTAGACGGAAAGATAAACATTCGGAGCCCTGAACTCCAATGAACCTCAGGTAGTTAACACAGAAAGATATCGTCACGCTGACACAATCGAATCATTTCTCAAAATTCAAAGACAAAGCAAATATGGGAAAGCAGCAAGAAGAAAAGCAACTCATCACATAAAGAGAAAACTTTCAGAAGACAATCATCAGGTCTCTCAGAAGAAACCTTGCAGGCCAAGAGAAAACGGAATAATGTACACAGAAGCTTTAAAACAAATCTGTCAGCCAGAGATAGCAAACCTGGCAAGATCATCTTTCAGAAAGGAAAGAAATGAAAGGGACCTCCCCAGACACACAAAACGGTGGGTTCATAGCCAGTTAGACACCCCTGAGGAACTAGAGAGGTCCTAGTTTTTTTTTTTTTGAGCTGGAAAGTCAGTAGTAACTAGCTACAGGAAAGTATCGAACTTCTCTCTAGGCCTTAGAGCAGTGGCTCTGAGGATAAGAGCACTGACTGCTCTTCCAGAGGACCCAACATTGACTCCCAGCACCCACACGGAGGCTCACAACTGCTATTCCAGTCCCAGGGAAGCTGATGCTTTCTTCTGGCCTCTGAGGGCACTGGACACACACAGTGCACACACATACAGGCAAAAATACCCACACGCACAAAATAATAAGTCAAATTTAAAGATGTTAAATTCATTTCTGTTAAAAGTAAGTACTTAGTTGAGTTCAGAATGCAGATACTCCCTAATTTACAATGGCATTGCATCCCTGTAAAGGAGCAGTGGGCCACTTCCCGCCGCCCGCCCAGCTAGCTTTACCCGAAATAATTACACGGAAACTGTATTCATTTAAACACTGCCTGGCCCATTATCTGTAGCCTCTTATTGGCTAACTCTTACATATTGATCTAATCCATTTCTAATAATCTGTGTAGCACTCAAAAAGGTCAAGGCAGTCTCTTTATTAACCTATGAAAGTAACACATAGACAGATAATCCTCCTCCATCACATCCCCAAAAGCTCATCAGATGTCAACAATATCGAAAGTATAAGAATGCATTTAATTCACTAAACCTTTGATGCATTGCAGCACAGTAGGTAGAGAGGGCCAGATGTTTGTTCTGTAGCCATGCACCTGACAGGGAAATAGGGCTCATGGCCCCTGCCCAGCATTACCACAGACTAAATGTTGTATATCACTGGCTGGAAAATTATCAAAACATGAAATTTGAAATATGGTTCCAAATGAATGGACTCAATTTTGACCATCACAAGACTGAAAAGAAAAATTGTGAGCCCATCCTAAGTATGGATCCACCCATATTTTTTGTTTTCCTTAAGATTTATTTATTCTGTATACAGTGTTCTGTCTACATGCATACCTCCAGGTCAGAAGAGGGTGCCAGGTCTCATTACAGATGGTTATGCGACACCATGTGGTTGCTAGGAATTTAACTCAGGACCTCTGGAAGAGAAGCTAGGGCTCTTAACCACTAAGCCATCTCTCGAACCCCTCCTTCCATATTCTAATACCACAATGGTGATGCCCTAGCCACTTTAAACTACTGTACGAAAACGGAACACAACATGTATTAATATTAGCCATAGCTACATTCATTTGTTAATAGATACACAACGTGAAATGATGTAAATTGTGACATTAGTAACAAAAAGTTATTGTTTTCATCTTAAAATAGATGGCTAAAAATATCAGATGTTTTAAGCCTCAGGTGGTAACTACAAAGCAAACCTTGTAGAACAAACAAGAGATAAAAAAGTTAGGAATCAAAGCATACTCCCCCAACAACAACAACAAAAAAATCAAACCACAAAGGAAATTAGCCTCCAAGGAAGAATGAACCAAAGACCTGGAAAACAGTAGACAACAGGCTGGGGAAATGTCTTCGTTGGTGCTTATGCACAAGCATTGTCTGAATTTGGAGGTCAATCACCCATGTAAAATACCAGGTGTGGTGCACCCATCACGGGGTGAGGAACAGGTGTATCCCAAAAATTTGCCCATCAGCTCATCTAGTCAATTAGGGAGCTCTAGGTTCAGTGATAGACCCTGTTTCAAAAAATAAATCAGAGACTGATAAAAGACATTCAACATAGCTGTGGCCTTTATGCACACATTTACAGGCAAGCACATCCGTGCACACACAGGTACACAGAGTAGAAAGCGGCCAAAAATTACAATGTAAAATCCTTACCTATCCATAGTTACTTGCTAAGTAAATGGATTAAGTCAAAAGACATAAAGTGGCTGAAAGAGATGCATCCTTTTTTGGTTTCATGAGACAGGGTTTCTCTGTGCAGTTGTGACTGTCCTGGAACTCACTGTGTAGACCAGGCTGGCCTCAAACTCTAGAGACCCACCTGCCTCTGCCTCCTGAATACTGGGATTAAAGGCATGTGCCACCACCACCCAGCGGGCATGCATTCACTTCTAAGAAATATAAACTGGGGAGCTAATAGACTTCTTCCTAGTCCTGTGTGTGGGCACGTGGTGAGGTTAAGGAAGCGAGAGAAAGAAGGAAGGGGCCAGGTGAGATCCTGAAGGGAGGGAAAGAGAAGTGATCATTGTGCTCCATCATGCAGCCTTAGCTGCTGATGTTCTGATTTCTAGAGAAAAGCCCTTACCTCCCTGCTCCCTTCTTCCATTTGCACAACACACAACTTTTCTTGAAACGGATACAACACTTTTGTTGTTCTGTTTCTGGCAACCTGGGCTAAGACCGTAGGCAGTTTGCACCCCTTCCCAGACACACTGTTCTCTCAGGACTTCAGAAAGCGGAGTTTGCAGAGAGAGTCTCTGGGGTGGGAAGTCAGCTGTAAGGTCACCAACAGAATTCAGAAAGGAGGTAAAAAAGTAACAAGAATGGAAGGAGGAATGCTGGGAATAGAAACGACACACATTAACTGTGTTCAAGATGTGTGAAGGACGTGATGGGCGGATGACCCCAGTCGAATGGAGTGATGTCAGCATCTCAAATAGCTTCTCCCACAGAGTGGACATCAATAGAGGATGGAATTCTCATCTCAGTAACACTAAGTTTGAGAGTGTGACAAACACCAAGAAGAGGGATATTGCAGGCAAGTAGACAACTCTGGACCTAGAGCATAAACTCAAATTCTCCCAAAGCTCTTTAAGTAAGGTCAGGATTGGTTATACATTGGTGGTAAGAACAAGTGTACCTGGGAAGTATGGGTTTAGAGAGAAATGGGAAACAATTCCATTTGTGGGAGAGAGTGGAAGGTGA